GGAAAGGTTTTTTGGATTGGCAATGGATGAAATATTGTTCGGGGAATATCAAGGATTATATTTTGAATTTTTGGATATATTTTGTCATAGGTTTTTGTTATGAATTTGCAAGCTTAGAAGGGCTTTGGGCATTACATGTTTGAAGTTTGGGATTGTAAGAGATTTGTACTTAAATTGGATGTTTTGGATTTGATATGTTGTTTATATTTAATATGGTACTACTACTTTTGAATTAAGTTTATATTTTGGATGCTTTGCACAAGTGTGTTAATTTGAATTATATTTTGCTTATGTTTATAGGTTTATGAATTATGTATTGAACAGGGAATTGTTAAAAAAAATTATTTATAATGAATTTTTGGTGGCAAGTTTTTTTAGTTGTAAATTTACTTTTGGTGACTTTTATTTATGTTGCTGAAAGTATGTGTCCATAATTTTTTTAGCGACCCAAAACTTGATTGGTCGCCAAAAGTTTTAACATTCAACAACCAATTCTTTTTTCACTGAAAGATATTTTTAGCGACGCATTTATATATCGCTGAAACTTAACATGTCATCGGCATAATTTTTAAGTAATATTAAGCACTTCTGTGAAATTTCAATTTGGGGATGCTTAAACGATTAATTTTCGTCCCTATTCAAGCTTTATATATATATACATGCTTATAAGAGTCTTATTGACCTTAAGACTTAGGAATCATATACCTCTTAAGAGAAGGTGAGGAGAGAGAGAAATTGAAGGGTAGAGGGAGGAGATCATCAAAAAGGTTGGGAATTTGAGGAAGTTTAAGCACAAGGTATGTATAAGGCTATCTCAATTAACTCCCATAACTCTTCTTCTTAGGATGTGTGAAATACCCTCATGATCATGTCACTTAGGGGTTGGAATGATGATTCTATATGTGTGTAAGAAGTTAATGGACAAGATTTTCACTCCCGTCATTGTTATGGGAATAGGAGGAACTGTTCTGGCATGACGGGGCCTATCCTGATTTTCTGACTGGCTTGAGCTACCCTCAGGTGGAGTGGGGAAAACATCCTCCACAGTTTTTGCCACAATTGCGGATATCTGTTGCTTGTTCATTCCCCTGGCTTTCAAAGCCTCGACTGCCCGCAGCATTTGTTCAATGGGATCGGCTTCTGCCTTTATTTTGTTCTTATCTCTGGCCTCAGCCTGATCAAGGGTTTGGGTTACTACTTCAGAGTGAAGCCCGGTTGTTGCTGACATGTCGTGGCTGTAGCTGGAAGCCACCTCTGGCTGGCTGAGCTCTATCACAATCCGCCCCAGTAGCGGGGGCTCTTGTGGCATGAAATTCCCGGCGTATGGTGCCGTTGGTGGCGAAGTCGATATTCCATAGGCCAGATCGGCCACGGATCTCTGGAGATCACCTATCATCCCTATCAATTCAAATGTGGTGGGCTCACGAGCCTGATACAACTGGGGGGCCCAGACTGGGTGTGCGACAGGCAACCTAGGCGGATGCGATACATCAACATTGGTTTCATCCCGCGGGGTGATCCCTTGATCTAGCGTAGCTGTCATAACCACAATCTCTTCTGAATTCTGCGTCGTCATAAGTCCTGCCTCAATCAAAAGGGAACACTAGCTATTTTGTACCAATCCACTGGATACTCTGAACTGAAAGGAAAAACAAACAGCATTTCAGCCCAAACAGATCAACCACAGGTGTAGCCGAACAACTGCACTCTATTGCTGATCACTGTTCCCCAGAATCACTGTTCCCAAAACTGAACCTGATACCCGCAGATAACTGATTCTCATAAACTGATACTGATGCCCTCAGGTCTAATACTCAATCTTGCAAACTGATATGTACGTTCCTGTAGAGAAACACTCTAAAAGCACATAGCAAGTAAAGAGAGCCAAAACACCCCTATGTTGGGGCAGGGTTTCCCTGTCCTATTTTGTCAGGAGCTAGGGTTCCACTATGCACGCAGCAGTTTCAAACAACCTATAATCGGGTAAGCAGCCTGTCCTAACTTGGAATGGTCACTATGGATCCGAATATGCACTAGGTCGAATGGTTGAAAAGGGTGCCCCAGTAAAAATCGAGGTTTGTGTTCCCATACTATCAGAGCCCATAACCGGTCAGCCTTATGGTCATGCCTTGACAAGACAAGCCTCCGGCAAACCGTTCAGGAATGACAGATGGCAAACACTGTGTCCTAGGCACACCAATGCACATGCAATGCAAAGAGACACAAATGAAATCAAAACAGGATATCACGAGCTCGAGTCAAGCTCTCTAAATCCCCAGCAGAGTCGCCAGAAACTGTAAACGCACTCGCGTGGGGGCCCTCGCTACAGTTCGAACTCGATTTGGTTTGTGGTTCTAAATCTGAACCAAAGAGTCCAAATCCGGTAAATCGTTTTGAGAAACAAATTTTTTTGAAATGAAGTGCCAAACATGGACTGCTTTGCTAGATACAGAGTCGCCACTTAAATATTTTAAAATGGGAGAATTTAGGAAACCTTGACTCGGTGCCAAAGGCCACGTGTCCGTCATCACCAAAGTTGCCTCGGCTCGGGAACTTGGGTACGATTGGGGAAGGTCAGCTATGAGCACCCCCTCTCGCCCGATCCGAAGATCGGCCTCTACTAACCATGATATCCAGTTTTGAAAATGTTATGTGTTCTTATTCCGGTTATTAGCCTAGAATTACTATGATCTACACTGTTTCTCAAAGGACTATGGTGAAAAGATCACTCTAGGAGGGGTGAGCACAATTACCCAAAAGGAATCTCATAGTTCAAAAACAATAACCATCCTATAGATAGAAATGATCATGCATGCAAGGTGATACCATATAGTACAGTGACATTTTGTAATTTCAAAATATCATACATAGCATATCTTTTTCTCGAAATTTATTTGAACATTTAAGGAAAACCCTTCGACCATCAAAAACTATCCCTTTTTGTTAGAAACAATAAACTAGTTAGCCAACATGCATGGTCCTAGTTCATGTCGAATTGACTAATGCAACACATACAGGATGCAATTAGAGTAGGCTCGGCTAACCTAAACATGGCATGTGAAATGCAATCAATTGATGCACGTATTCAATTTGGAATTGAAGTACAAATGCAATTAGCATGATGTACCGAGCCCGGTGCGTGCGAGACAAATGCATGGATGCTCGCATGCATAGCATAAGGTATGCTGATTTAAACATGACGTATTACTAACCATCAAAGCAGGTAAGTAAAAGGGAGAAAGAAGTGGGGGTTGGAAGACATGCACACACTCACCCACACTTATTACAAATTCGCCCTCGCTCGGAGGGACCGAACGAATAATACAAATTAACTAACTCGCAAGCTAATTAATTATTACAAATCACCTAGTTAATTAACAAATTAACTAAGCATACGAAAAGCAATAAAAGGGGCCTCGGGAAGAGGGTTCGATGCGCGCGTGCTCGGGTCTTGCTTGGAAGTGCACTGCCATGCATAGCCTGCCTCTGTTTTCCCTGCTCTGCCTCTTTGAAGACTTCCAAAGTCTCAGAATTGCTTCCCTGGACATTGGGAGACACCACCGGCTAAGTAGAATGGCCACCGGCAGTGGTATGTGATCACCGGCTGTTGGTGAAGCTATCGGCCCAGGAAGGATTGCCAGTCGGCACTGGACACTGCCGGTCGGCAGAAAGTTCCTGCAGAATCTGCAATTAACAGCAGCAGAGGGCAAGGCATAGCATGGCAATGCAATTCAAGCAATGTATGCACCAATCATGTCCCTTATCATGTTAGTGACTCAAAGGGACATGCTCCTTGGTTCTCGGACCATCAATCGTGCATTTCCATGCGTGATGGCCTAAGGGACCAAGTGTGCACATTTGATGTCAAGTTCAATGCAAACCATCAAACCAAAGGGGCCCAATCCCTATCACTAAATCAAGGGACAAGGCATGCATGTTCGATGCAACCTAAGAATGTTAACTAACATGCAACATGGTATAAAAGGGAGCATGCAAACATGTAATGCACATTAGGTACACAACCTAAGCAACAAGGCAAACAAGCATGCCACAACTATGCAAACTACTTAGAGCATGCAAGATGTGATCTAATCATGCAACATGCTAGTAATTTGACCAAGGGAATGAATGCCAAATGCAAATGATTTCAAGCATGCAACACATGCAACCAAAGCATGCAAACATGGGATAATGTAACAACACTTGAATGGCATACAAGGGATGGACTTACACTAATTGGACAGCTCTAAGTTAGGTCCAAAACAGTGGCCAAAGCTTAAGAAGATGAGACCAAACACACATACACACATGCACATGTCAAGGCCTAAATACTCAAGCATCAAGGGGCGTCTTTCAAGCACACTTAAAAGGGAATAATCATGGACATGGGGCATGCATTAAGCTCTGAAAATCATGCAAGAACATGGTGCCAAACCAAGCAAACAAGATAGGCTGAACATGCAACAAATGGCCCAAGCATTCAAGGCAAGCTAAAGGGGTATTTGACCACACTTAGCAACACCACACATGGTATGACTTAAATGACCAAAAACAGAGTTTTAGCACATAAAACAAAGCCCAAAAGACCACTTAGATGGCATCTAAATGGCTTGAATTCAAAAGCATGCACAAATGCACTTTCAAGGAGCATACCACACAAGCTCATAAGGCGTCAAAGAGGCATCCAAGGCAAGCATACAAGCATGCTAAGGGGACTGAAATGATGCTATAAATGGTGCCAAACCATTAAAATAAAGCAAGTAACGCATGCTATACCCTCACACACTTAAGGCCAACAAGCCAAAATGCAAAGGGGCTATACCAAACACGTCATGGCTGATCAAAAGGACTAAGGACAGACCTCTAGCATGGCAAAATAAGCACAAAAGCTTCACAAAGCTAGACCTAAAACATGCTTGAACAATGGTTTACAACCTAAGGCATGTTAAGGCCTAAACATGGCATTACAAGGTAGGTATTCTAAGCATGCATGGTGTACCAAAACCAACATACAACAATGCTATTTCATGGAAAAATAAGCATAAACAATAGCCAAGGCATGGTCAACATGAGGCTTAGCTAGGTGCTCATTAAAGAGGCAAAAATGGCCCTTTTCAAGGACAACAAGGAGAGGGGGTGACCCTCTCCTTCTTGGGACTTCAAAGCACCATCCTTACCACTGAAATCCCTCAAGATTTCAGTGGTGAGGAGGCCCAAACACCAAAGTCCCAGAGCCCCTCAAGGCTGAAGAGGGGACAAACACCTCCAAACCACAAAACACTCTAAACAAACTATTTAGATGCTTCGACATTTTGATCATCTGCACTTTCCTTCTTCCAGAATGCCACCGCATTAGCCAATGATGTGAACCGTCTTTTAAGGCAGAAGATTGTTGTGATTAAGCATGTTATAGCCATAATGACTGAGAATGCTGCATATATAAGATAAAATAAAGCATAGAAGTGGTGAGTCTTGTGATTGGGAGATGATAAAATTCCAGTTTTGGTTATTGTAAATTATGTAGAGTTTGGCTTCCAATGACCAAGAGTTATCTTGATTCTCATCTTACCTATGGTTAATCTTAATCTTAATTTGCTTCCCAAATGAAAACGGGAGGTTGATCCTGCAAGATAAAGGGAAAATTAGCGACACCTTCAGATGGACAAGACAACGGTTCTATGTAATTTCCCAAATGATTCTATATATTCTTAAAATTTACATCTATGACGTAGTATAACGTTCAAGGAAGATTATCACGAGACACTCTTACAGCATCAGGAAACATTGTGATAGAAAGTGAACATTGCAAGTTGAGCTTACTTTCTTTGGGGGGAACCATTTTGTTCAAAATTATTGCTCTGTCATTTTTTACTAAATCAAGTTCCCCGGCATGCTGTTCTCTTGTTTCTTGGATGAAATGGAAATACATTTAGCTTCTTTCAATTCAATTTCGTTTAGCTTTTCCTATTTTGTCCCCATTCTCACCACAAATTTTCTCTGCAAATCCATATCCAATCATGGCCTTAAGAAGTAAAAAGGCATTTGGACATTCTCTATGATTAAAATGGGAGGATTTTCTATGATAGGAAGCTTGGAAAGCTTTGGCTATTCCCACCCAAATAACTATTTATTTAAAGCAATGAATGGAAGATGCAACCTTCAAACTCAAGTGAGATGCAAAATCTTATTTCCTGTTCCATGAGTCATTAAGAATAATTCTAGGCAAGGCCGGCCCTGGGCATAGGTCCACCAGGACATCACTTAGGGTTCTCAAAATAGATCCAAAAAAGGGGCCAATTCTATTATAGTTTAGTAACTAATTTAAAAAGGCTTAAACTAACTTAAAATAAATTGATCCGTTAAAAAATTAAAAGGCCTATTCAAAATTAAAAGGGCCCATTCACTCTCCTTATCTAATTTCTAACCCTAACTCTTAATTCAATTTTCCCAAAAATTTGAGAGAAGCAGCACAACAAAGCACTAACAAATTTCTCAAGAATTCAGAGCACAACGCTGGTAGGTCTTTTTTTTCTATTTAATTAATTAAATATTTATCTTGTCTTTTGCTCAATTGCTATTATAATATTGGTATTTATACAAATTTGCATCATCAAGAAGAATTAATCTCTTGCTACTTGTGTTAAATTTTTTGTTGAATGAAAAATATATATATATATATATATATATGTGAAGGCCCCAAATGATCTAGTGATATTTATTAGTTGATTATCGGCTTTGGGTTCCGAAAATCTTAGGACCTGGCCTGATTTTAGGATGACCATTTTTTTTATAATAAATTTGCTTACCATCTCTCGTCCAATTTTTTTAAGTTTATGATTTTCAAAGTCTGATAACATGGAAAACCAGATCCCTGGCAATTTGGACTCTATGGAAACCTCTAAAAGAAGATCAGACCAAAGCAAATCATTTTATCTTACAACTAAAGAAAACAGAACAAGATTAGAGGGGGCTCATACCGTTGCAGCGAGTTTTATGAGATTGATCTCGGCAATAGCAAAGAAATGAACCAGAACTACTCGAGTTGGACCCACATGTTCCACCCGATTCAACACATAGGTCACACAGACTATTATCTGCATCCCACTTCAACCCAACACCACTGCCAATAACTTGTCTTACATTTATTGCATTGCTTGCAAAAGCCACAGCTTCTGTTTGATTAACTGGAACAATGACATTCCTCTGGCATGTTGAAATGTTGATGTTCGTGGAAGATGTGACACTGGTTGTCGCAAAACTTACTGTGTTGTTCGTGCCATCTGTGCTGCAATTGAGCTGACCAGGAATAGCTGTTTGACTAGCCAAAATTCTCTGGCAGCCATAGTAAAGCGTGAGGTTTTGGGAATCAGATAAATAGGTGAAATGGGCGGTATCCAAGGTGGTGTTTTGGAAATGCGTCGGGCAAGTATTGTTCCAGAATTCCTCTCTAACAACTGTCAGAGTCCTTGTTGTGGTATCAATTGCAAGGACTCGATATGCACTCTGGATTGTGATCCGTGGGGCATCATCTTGACAATCTAGCCTGAAATTCGGGTGGCCACAGTAGTCTGGCCTGTTCCCTCCCCAGAAAGGATAATCGATGTTTGGAAAGTTTGCACATTGAAACCTCTGAGTGCAGTTTGCGTATTCATTGCTATCGGCGCATAAAAATGTTGGGATTTGGCTTAAAATTACGATCATGAGGAAAAGACAAGAGCTTGGGAAGAAATGGGTATTCATTTTTCAAACATAAACACAGATTAGAGAAACAAAATTTGGAAATGGGACAGAATAAATGCTGGGTTTTTGTCTGGGTGCAAAGATGTTTTTGCAGAAGCAAATTATTGAACAGTTGGAGTGCATGCAATGCAAACCCATCATCAGCCTTGTATGGTTTCTTCGTTTTGAACAGTTGATGTAATTGACAACGTGGAACCAAGGATCAACACAAGGTTTTTCCATGAATTGAATTGTTGGTGGAACTGTCGACTAGTCTGGTCTGTTTTGCTCCAATAAACACAAGGAAGCATCAGAAATACTTTTCCAAACGATCAACTTTTCTTTTGGCCTTTGCCCACACAAGTAGTAAAAGTCAGTGATTTCAGTGGCGGCTGCAGAAATATTAGTCAGATTATTTATTAACTTGATTAAAATTTAAAATAAATAAATAAATAATCAAACAAATCATGAGTAACGAAGAATTTTAATACATTGATACTATTATTTAAATAAATAAATATATATTTAGGGCTAAAAGCTAGCCGAGTAATAGGTTATTTAAGTTCGGTTTAATAACTTGACGAGTTTAAAATTATATTCAAACTTATTTTGTTTATATAACGAGTTGAGCTTGAGTAACTTCGTTTTTTTTTTTATGGGGCTGGCTTTCCTCCAGCCCGTATCGGATTGGAGGGTACTGTTGGATTTGTGGGAGCCTACTACGGGTTTTGTTTCGATAATCTGAACTGTTCAATGTGTAAAACTCATCGAGTATTATATGCTTGTAAAAAATTATGTTGATCGGATATCGATAACTACATGATCAAATCAGTTTTGTATAAAAAAAAAATTGGACGATGAAAAAATAGAAGGTTGATAGAAATCTAATCCGATGAGATAGCTATCGACATTCAATCAACGTGATTTTTTACAAGCATATAGTACTTGATGAGTTTTACACATTAAACGATTCGGATTGTCGAAACAGGACTTGTGGTGGGCCTCCATGGGCCCAACAGTATTCTCCAGTTCGATCAAGGGCTGGAGGGAAGCCTAACCCTTTTTTAATAGTGTTTATAAGCTTATCGAGAACTGAGGAAATACTTATCAAGTTAGTTACTTATGTAATATTGGTATGAATATGGATATTCAATAGTGTATGATCTGTTATTTCTGAAAACAACGTCGATTTGGGGGAAAGAAAAAGGGAAAAGGGTCAGACTCAAGTTCAAGTTCCCAGATAATTACGGAGGATACAGATTTGGTATTATACAAGTGAAATATACTGATTCAATCCTTTTGATTAATTACTATCAATTTATTATTATCATTATTTATATATATAATTTTTTTAGAAACTACTTTAGCCTAGATTTATGTAGAAAGGGAAAGGGAATCGCCCTCAACGCTCTATATGGGATTTGAACTCACAACCACCTCTACGAGGATTTGAGAGCTTACCAATATGGCACAATGTTCCAAATCAATATGCGGATGGGACATACCTTATGTGATAAGGACACTTAATTTTTTATATCCTTCTTTATTTTTCAAAGAACGAAATTTACAAAGATTGAAAGTTTCCTTCTGAAATCTCTACCCCTATGTAATACTGTCTGTCTATAATGACTTGGAAGCGTCTTGGGTTGATGGGTCAGACCTTGCAGGAGAAAACAAGAAAGGTTTTCGAGGAATTTGAAAGGACTCAAGGCTTCCTTCCAACATTTCCACCACGTTAGTCATTGTTGGTCGGTTTGATGGATTGATCTGAATGCACCACAATCCCACCAAGATCATCTTCCTCACCGTCTCTTCTTCCTCTTTGCTAGTGACGATGCTGTGAAGTTTTAGATCCTTACCATGTTCCAGATGCTCATAAATCCAGTGTGGAAAGTAATTTTCACTTGTTTCCACTACTCCCAACTTCTGATCTCTTCCTCCAGTCATTTCAAAAACCATCATTCCATAGCTATAGACGTCGGATTTATGAGAGACTTGGCCAAGGTATTAGAAAACACTTCTGGAGCAATATATCCAGCAGTCCCTCTGGCACCCAACATTGATATCACACTTTGTTTCGTTTGGCATAGTTTAGCAAGACCAAAGTCTGATATTTTAGGGAGAAGATCTTCATCATGGAGAATGTTACGAGGCTTTATATCAAAATGCACAATTCTTGTGCTACAACCTCAGTGCAAGTACTCTAGTCCTCGTGCAATGCCCACTGCTATTTGGAACAATGTACTCCATTCCAGGCGACAGTTTGTACCCTGAGATTCTTGGTTGCGAATGAACCTGTCCAACGATCCTTTGGCCATAAATTCATAAATTAGAGCTCTTCTTTTTGCTTCAAAACAGAAACCCAAAAGATTGACTGTAACAACCCTCACCTTACTCTTGTCATACTTGCATACATTCCTGCATGATCCTGCCTTGTTATTTTGCTTTTGAAGGTTTTGTCTTGTCTTGATTTGCTTAAAGTTGCTAGCATGATTTTGATCTTTGCTTGGTGTGTGTGTGGCCGAGGTCCTCTTGAGCTTAGTTCGCCTTTGAACCCTTGTACTTAGAACTGTTTTGAGACCTTGGTCGACCCCTATCTTCACCTTGGGCTTGTTGCCGAGATGTTTTTGCACTTGCTGAACCTTGTCCTTGGGCAGGTATGGCCTAGGCCGAGATGTGGCACACCCCGGCCAAGGTGTGGCACAGCTTAGTCAAGTGTCGTCCTCCCTAGCCGATGTTTTTGTCATCCGGTTGCTGAAGCTTTGATTTGAGCCGATGTCATTTCTTGCCGATGTGTTGTACCGAGCTTGCTGCATACGCTTTGTCAGAGACTTGTCTTATCAATCAATCACCTTTTTGAGCTGAACCAACCCAGTAGCGCCACGTGTCCGAGCTTTTTGTTAAGACAGCCGGCAGACCTTGAAACACATCATTCTTGTCTCAAATCTTTGTTTTAGAGAGAGAAGCTCTAGAGAAGTTCTTGAGTGAGAGTAAGTCTCCCAAGCTTGATCTTCGTGGTTTGAACCGTTGGATCCGAGTTTTGAGGTTAGAATCTTGATCTCCTTTGGTTGTTCTTGCTGATCATCTAGCTGCATTGCATGATCGAATTTGTGTTGCATGTCATGCATCGATTTGAAGTTGGTTTTGGAAAGAGAAAATGGTTTTCCATGTGTTCTTGAAGAAAGTCTCGTTTTGATCGAAAGTTTGGAACGGAAATCATGTTTTTGTGTTTATTCTTGCATAACCTTCTTGTGCGGGTACCCAGGTCCATGTTTTGAACTCTTGGCATGAAACCTCAGATTTTGTAACAAGTTTTGAACTTGCATTCATCTTCCTCTCGATCATGTTCTTCATGTGCTTCAAGGGAAACCCAGGTTTTTCCCGACTTTGCTTTTGAATGAGGCCAACGGGACCACACCTCGGCAAGGATGTGTGGGACCTCGGCAAAGACCTGGATGGTACCCAGAGTGTTTTCGTGAGACGGGAGCAGTGTTTGAACTCCCAGCATGTTTTGCTTTGTTATTGACTTGGATCTGGTGACAGCCGAGGTCATTTGCATGTGTACTGGACTTGTTTTGAGTAGTTTATTCAATAGACTTTGCCATGTGTTGTAGGACTTGGGATTGCCTTGACCCCGACGTTTGAAGAACTAGGTGAGTGGTATTATTGATAAAGCTATGTTATACTTGTTTTGATAAATCTTGCTTGCCTTGTTTTGACCAAGCATCATATTAAGTGGGAAAGTTATTTACAGACTCTGCCAAATCATGTGCTGGCTTAACATCCGTTTGCTTGACCTTAGATACACAAAGATAATCAAAATATCGACAAAGCGACCATATATCCGCTACTATAGTAGAATTTTGTTCACCCACTTCAATTTTTTAATCAATCAGAGAGAATAGTTTTGATTACTCACTTGTCAGATGAATGAACGAAATTGTTTTCCTCAGCAGAGCATTGCCTTGGGCATCCCATTTTGGAATCTAAAAGGGCTCATGCAAGGTGTATCAACTATGCCTTGGTGAAAATTCCTAATATTGTAGGCCATCTTCCGGCGTTTCTTCCACCATATTCATTGTCCATAATGAGTTGGAAGTGTCTTGGGTTGATGGGTTAGCCCTTGTAGGAGGAAACAAGTAAGGCTTTGGAGGAATTTGCAAGGACTGAAGGCTTCCTTCCAACATCTCCACCACCTTACTCATTGGTGGCCGGTCTGATGGATTGGTCTGAATGCACCACAAGCCCACCAAGATCATCTTCCTCACTGTCTCTTCTTCCTCTGTGGTAGTGACGACACCGTGAAGGCTTAGATCCTTACCATGTTCCAGATGCTCATAAATCCAGTGTGGAAAGTACTTTTCACTTGTCTGGACTACTCCAACTTTCTGATCTCTTGCTCCAGTCATTTCAAGAACCATCATTCCATAGCTATAGACATCGGATTTATGAGAGGTTGGGCCAAAGGTTCTAGAAAACACTTCTGGAGCAATATATCCAGCAGTCCCTCTTGCACCCAACATTGATATGACACTCTGTTTTGTCTGGCATAGTTTAGCAAGACCAAAATCTGATATTTTAGGCCGGAAGTCTTCATCAAGGAGAATATTGTGAGGCTTTATATCAAAATGTACAATCCTTGTGCTACAACCTCGATGCAAGTACTCTAACCCTCGTGCAATGCCTAATGCAATTTGGTACAATATACTCCATTCCAGGCGACAGTTTGTACTCGCAGATTCATCGTTGCAAATGAACTTGTCCAATGATCCTTTGGCCATAAATTCATAAATTAGAGCTCTTCTTTTCCCTTCAAAACAAAAACCCAAAAGATTGACTATATTGACATGAGAAGTTCTACTGATGCTAGCAACTTCATTAATAAATTCTTGTCCATTTCCCTCAGTCTGGCTGAGGACCTTGACTGCCACAAGACGGCCATCAGATAGCTTTCCTTTGTATACAGAACCATACCCTCCCTGACCTAGTTTATCTTTGAATGAGTTGGTCATTTTTTTAAGATCTGAATACCTGTACCTCTTTGGAGCAACAGATCCGTGATTCCTTATAAATGCTTCGACATTTTGATAACTCAAGCTTTCCTTCTTCCAAAAGGCTACCACATTAACTGACACGAGTCGTCTTTTAAAGTAGAAGATTATTGTTGTGATCAAGAACGTTACAGCTACAATGACACAGAATGCTGCACAGAGAAAGCATAGAGGTTAAGTGATTGACAAATAGTAGCATCAATTAATTCTGCTCTCTAAAGGGCCTTAAGGATGAACAGAGCTGAAGCCCATCTAGCCAACTCTTCCAAACAATTAGTGGGGCAAAGAGATGATAAAAATTATGAAGAGATTGGCTTCCCATGACCAAGTTTACT